GCCGCCGGGCCTGGCTCCGCGGGGCGGGATGGTGGTGGTGGGGGGGGAGGCGGCCTTCCCGGGCGAGGCCGCGTTCGTCCTCCTCCGCCGTGGGCCCGGGGCCTGCCCGTGCGGTGCCGGCGTCCGCGGGCTCCGCCGTCCGCTTCAGTCCTGACCCGCGCGGGGCTTCCCGCTGTGTTTGGGGCTCCGCCATCCCCCGGGCCGGTGCTGGACCAGCCGCTCCCTCCCCCGGAGCCGGTGCTTGGGTACCGGTTCCCCCGGGGCCGGTCCTGCCGCCCCAAAGCCTTGGCCTGAGGCGCCAACAGCGGGGCTGTGCGAGCCGGTACCTGCTCTGTGGAGCCGAGAGGCCTTTCTCTGACAGGCCCGTTCGGTACCGGCTCTGCCCAGAGCTCACCTGGGTCGGTACCGGGCTCGGGTCGGTGCCAGTTTCCTGGTCATCCATCTCTTCCCCAAGTCTGGGTCGGTTTGACCTGTCTGGGGCATGAGGGTGGCTCGGTCCCCAGGTTCCCAAACGGACCCGGTACCGGCCACGCTCCTTCCAGGGCTGCTCTGGGCTCTCCCCGCCCCGGCCGGGGGCTTCTCCCCAGCTTTGCCGGTCGGTACCGGCAGTACCGGCCCTGTGCGGCAGTGGCCAGGGTGCGGCGAGGACTGGGTCATCGGGTCCCTGTGCATCGGGTCGGTCCCGCTGTGGTGCTCAGTGTGGGCTATGGCAAGAGGTGACCGACCCCTCCAAGGAGACACCGAGGTCCTGGTGGGGACCCCGGAGCCGTGGGGGATCAGGAGGGTTGCGTGGGACTGGGTGGAGCTGATTTATCCCACGGCTTTTCCATTGCGTCCCCCAAATCGGGTTTAATTCCTGGGATGGTTCCAGGGGTGTCCTCAGCAGGGTGGGGGATGGTCCCTGAAATGACAGGAGAGGGCCATGAGGAGGTTTGTGTGAGCCTTAGGTGCTGGGGAACGGCTCCCAGCCCCACAGAGCGGTGCAGACCCACCACCTTTCAAGCAGCTGGGGGTTTGGATCAGCCCCTTGCTCAGGAGTGGGTGCCCTGAGATTTGGGAGGGTTTTGCTGTGGGTCCACGCTGATGACTTGTTTAAAGGGAGCAGATGTTTTGTGGTCTAAGGCTTCTCTTGGATGTTTTTCCAGCCTCACCAAAGCTTCTTGGAGTTCTTTCATTCTCACTGTTTGCATCTGCTGGCATCCCTCCGATTGGCACTGGGGGGATAGCCCAAATTTTCACACGTGGGTGAGCTCTGAAAGCTCTCTGGTCCCCCATAACCCACTCTCTGCCCCAAGATTAAACATGCCCCGTCTCCTGCTTTATTTTTTGGCCATTTGGAGCTCCTGGAGTGTTTTAGAGGTGACGCGGGGGCTGCCCACCAGCAAAGCACAGCATGGCTCAGTGCAGCGGCGGTGGGATGGAGATGCAGGAGGTGGATAGGAGTTGCCTTGGTAACGTTTACGCTGCTGTGGGTACGTTTTTGGTCTCTTAAACAGATGATACAGTCCTGGATTTGCGGGAGGATGAGGTGAATTGTGAATGTCTTGGGGATTTTGGTTTTCCTGAAAAATGCTGTAATTTAACTGAATTCTTTCTCTGCTTTCAGGGCTATTCAGAGTCCCCAGACCTGGAGTTTGAATATGCAGATACTGACAAATGGGCAGCAGAGCTCTCCGGTAAGGAACTTGTCTTGGTGGATCAATTAATCAGCCATGATTTTCTTTCCTGGTAGTGATTAAAGGAGCTCTGTCAACTCCAGTATTGCTCTATTATTGTCTTTAAACACCTTATTCGTGTTAAAAGGAAGTGATATTGTGTAATTAATTTTTTTAGCCTTATGCTGGGTATGTTTTTTGCATTTGCCTCATCTTGGATAAAACTGCAATTAACGTGGCCAGGTTGCAGCTTTCTCTGACAACTCGGTGCAGGTTGTTGGAGATTTTCCTCTGTGCTCTTTCGGCAGAGCTGTACAGCTACACAGAAGGGCCAGAGTTCCTGCTCAACCGCAAGTGCTTCGAGGAGGACTTCAGGATCCACGGTAAGATCCTTCTCTTTGACCTCTTGCCCCTTCTGGGAGGGACAGGGATCTCCTGAAGGAGACATAGGGACTGATGCATTAATGCTGCGTCAGAAAGCTCGAGCTGTGCACTGATAGTCTTCACACGGTTTGTACTGGAGACCTCATTAGCGTGCGTGGGCTGGCTCTGGAGCTCAGCTTGCTGCCTCCAGCGTGCTCAGCGTTTGCTGATGTTGCTGTCCGAGGTGGTTCATCAGTGCCAGGACGGCTGTGCTGGAACATACTGGCAGCAGCAAGAGCATCCAGCTCATTTCCCATCAGCTGCCAGCGCTGGTTCAGATGGATGTGATTCATCTAGTTGTCTGAGGGAAGGCAGGAGACGGTCCCTCTGGGCCGATCATGCATTCCTGGGCGTTACTTCCCAGAGCACAGCGTTCCCTGGGGCAGCCCTGTTTTCCGTCATGCTGAATCCTTTTGAGCTTTTCCAGTGATGTTTGTGTCCAGGGCAGGCAGAGGAGCCCCGTGCCCTCAGCCTGCCTACTTTGGCTTTTCAGTGCGGGAGAAGAAATGGACCGAACTGGACAAGAACCAGCACCGCACCCACGCCATGCGGCTTCTTGACGGGCTGGAGGTCACTGCGCGGGAAAAGAGGCTGAAGGTTGCCCGAGCCATCCTTTACGTTGCCCAAGGTGACACCAGGCCTCTGCCCCCTTAGTTTCCCCATTGCTAAATCTGGGTAATGGATTGGAGGCTATCAATTTAAAAAACTTAAAATAGTTTTTTTTTCTTGCATTTTTTATTTCATCTGGAATGAAGCTAATTCTCACGGGAGCCAGACAGTTTATAGGAGTTTGTTCCAAAATTTGGCCTACTTCCCTGTGCTATCCTGGATCTGCCAGACCTCGGCTGCGTTACCTACAGGAGGGCAATTCTGTCCTCTGCATCCAACTTTTTGCCTTAAAATTAAGGCTGTGTTTTTCATTCCCCATGCAAAGTGCTCTGGCGGTGTGGGAGGGCCTCAGGATCCCTACGGAGATGGGATCCAGCAAGGGTATCATTGCAGGCACGTTTGGGGAGTGTGGCTCTGAGGCTGAGGTGCAGGCCTGGATGAGGTATAACATCTTCCTCTTGCTGGAAGTGGGGACGTTCAACGCTTTGGTGGAGCTGCTGAACATGGAGATTGAGTGAGTACTGGAGGAAAGCACTTCAGAAATGGCTCTGGAGCTCCATGGCAGGAGTTTTTTCCAGTTGGTGGCAGTCCCATTCCTGGTCTGTCTATTCCTAATCTGATTCGGCCAGCCACCAGTAATGACTCCTGCTGTTCTGGGTGGATAGGTAATGTAGAATTATACCTGATTTATACAGAAATTCATTATGAGTCGTGCTGCCTGGCAGCAAATAGAGGCAGGTCTGTTCCTCCTCCCTTGATTGCATTGTGAACAGGGGACTTGTTGCAGCTATATCTAGTCCAGGGTTTGGCTCTGGCATGTGGGTTGCTCGTGGCAGAGTTAAAATGTCTCCAAAGGCCCCTCTTGAGGCTGTTTTCCCTCCACAGTAACAGCGCAGCTTGCAGCAGTGCCGTGAGAAAGCCGGCCATCTCCCTGGCTGACAGCACGGACCTCAGGTATGGAGCAGGGCTTGGGAGGATGGGATGCTCTAAGGCCAAGGAGGGGGACCCAGCACTTGCTGGTTTCTTTGGTGAGCTAAGACAGGCCAGCAGGCACCGGAGGGTGTCCCAGGGCTGTCCCAGCTTCTG